AGACTTCCTTATATTGACCCAGATTTCGTTTCCCTGGAATTTCTACCCGTTGATGCTAGTCCTCCCCATTGATGTCCCAGAAAACGCATTTGTTCCCTCTTTAGTGGGACAGCCCTTCAGGTATCTGGAGACAATTCAACTCTCTTGAAATTGTCTTGTCTTGAACCTGATTCAATCTCTCCCTAAGTTCCATCCTACCTCTCAAGCCACTTGCTGTTTGGCTTCTCTTTTCCTGCCCACCCCTTAAAATTTGTGCCTTCCGGGTTTATACCTGGGCTTTCTTCTTTCTTTCAAACAATCTCCTCTACTCTCATGTTTCTGTGACCTTCTCTATGCTGAGGACACCCACACCAATATTTATGACTTGAAATTAGCTGCAACTTTCTATACACTTGCTCCTAAAGCATCTCCACTTGGATGGCCTACAAGTATCTCAGACTCAACCAGTGAAGACTGCACTGATCTCCATGTCCTGTCTCCACTGAATCTGTTCCTCCTGTTAGGTTCCCGATCTCTGTGAAAGCCACCTCCATCTCTAGGTCACCCTAGCTACCAACCTAAGCATCATCTTGGATTGTTCTTTTCATGTTTCCTATTCACTCCGCCCCCGAGTCCCTCTAGTCCCCTCTAGTCTGACCACTCTCCCTCACCTCTCAGTATCTTTGGTCTGGATATTTTGGACAGCCCCAGATATCATCAGTCTGTGCTTCCAGTATTCGGAGTCTACCAATTCACTCTGCATTTGCTGATGCTCCCAATACAATACTGTCATTCCCAGTGGCTTCTCCATCTTCCTAACTCACAAGTTCTTTCATGATCTTGTCCCTTCTGACCTCTCTCACCTCTCATCCCCAGTAACGCTCAAATTACCAGCAATTTCCTGAAGACACCATATGTCTGAGGCTCTTTGCATGTGGTTCTCTTGGCCTGGAATGCCTTTCCTCCCCATTTTGGCATGGAGAACTCCTTGTATCCTGAATTTAGACCCCAGTGTAAAGATCTCTTTCAGAACCTTGGAACTGTTCCTCTCCATCCTCTACACTTAGCAGAACTTTTATTCCTGGGTGTCATCCCCAGGCCTGGCATCCACCCTTTATTCTGTAATTATCCATTTATCTGCCTGTCCTTCACCTCTGAAGTTGCAGGGCTTTGCGGCAGCAGGCTATTGTGGAAGGTTTGAGGACTGATAGCTTTCTCCATGCTTCTCCAGTACCCAATACATTAACATCCAGCAGATAAGTGGGGCAGAGGATGACCCAGAGGGCTCTGGATGTCTTTCCCGAGCTCAAAGATTGGACCTCTGATTTCAGACCAAGGCAACTTGGCCCACACCTCCAGCCTGGGCATGGAAATCTGAGAAATGTGCATGACCTGCCCCCGACTCCTTGGCAACCCCTCCTCTAGAGGGGGGACGGCACAATGAGATATTTGCCCCCGTCCTTGCCCTCACCCCACTTGCACGCATCTGCAGGCGCTGCTTCCCTGGTGCTTACCGAGCAGCGACAGGAACAGAGACTCATTCGTTTCCTGGGAATCGTCGTCCATGGTCACAGCGTCGGGGGCGGGCGCTGAAGAGTGTGTGTGAAGGCGTGTGTGTGTGTGTGTGTGTGTGTGTGTGTGCGCGCGCGCGCGCGCTTGCGTGGAGGCACCAAAAAACAGTAATTCCAAATTTTGCAGGAGACCCTGAAGTCGCAAGCTTAGACGCTACTGTTGCCTGGACTACAGACGCCCTGCGCTGATTGGCTGAACGCTGCCACGCTCCGAAGTCCGCGGAAGAAGGAGGGTTGCGGGGGCGGAGCCCCCCACTCCCAAAATCCCAGGTGCTTCTCTTTTTGCGGGTCCTGAGAGGCAATCGCAGCCATGCAGAATTCCTGGCTTGGTGAAAGACAGGATTTCTTAGTATGGCCCAGTGACCAATGAACCTGGTGTAATAAATCCCTGGTTATCCTGAAAGCTGTAGGATCTCGAGCCGGCCTCCACGTCTTTCCTTTTCATCCAAGGAACAGGCCCTGCCTCCTCCAGAGGGGTGGTAGAAACCCAAGAGAGTCTTGGCCAAATAGAAGCAGTATGCTTTGCCCCCTAATGACAGGGTGCCATGGCTTAGAAATACAAAACCTGGTAACAGGAATATTAATAATATACACTTGAAATGCCCATCAACTGATAAACGTATAAACAAAATGTGCTCTGTCCACACAATGGAATGTCATAAAAAAGTTAAGTACTGGGGCGCCTGGGTGGCTCAGTCGTTAAGCGTCTGCCTTGGGCTCAGGTCATGATCCCGGGGTCCTAAGATCGAAACCCATATGGGGCTCCCTGCTGGCGGGAGGCCTGCTTCTCCCTTTCCCACTCCCCCTGCTTGTGTTCCTGCTCTCGCTGTCTGTCAAATAAATAAATAAAATATTTTCTAAAAAAAGTACTGATGCATGCTACAATACAGATGAACCTTCAAAACATTATGTTAAGCGAGAGAAGCCAGACTCAAAAGGTCACATATTACTCTATTTATAAGATATGCCCAGAACAGGCAAATCTATAAACACAGAAAGCAGATTGGCAATAGCCAGAGGCTGGAGGTGAGGTGTGTGGCTTTGGGTTTGACCGCTAACAGGCGCGGGGTTTCTTCTTAACGGATTGGAAATGTTTTGGAGTTAGTGATGATGGTTGCACAACATTGCTGAGTGTACTAAAAATCATTTAATTGTATACTTTAAAAGGATTAAATGATGAATTTTATATTATGTGAATTTTGTCTCAATAAAAAGTTAAAAAAAAAAAACACTTGAGCGCTCAGTCTGCATAAGGTACCATCTTCAACAAATTGCATTATCTTTGTGACCCTCTCAACTTGAGGTAGTCACTCAGACCATCCCTAGGAGCCACATTAACAACACTTTTATAAGCCAGGCTCCATTTAAGCAATTACACTCATTAACTCAATAATCATTATAACCATGTAAGTTATTATGAGTGGTGATAGCCTCACTATCACTTTTGAAAGAGATGAGGAAACACGTACAGAGGGCAGGCGACCTCACCTGCAGCAAAGGAGAAAAGCCAGATATGGCCATGGCTGGAGCTCCCTTGCTGTGTCCACACAGGCTCATACTCCCCAGGGTATCTGACCGCAGGCCCTAGCCTGATGTCCTAGGCTTGGTGAGCTTGCCTTAGCCCCCAATCCCAGCTGGGGCCCAGCGTTTCAGAGGGCCCTCTGATACTCTTAGCTGCAGGGTTTGGGCATCTTGTCCCTACAACTTACTCCTTTTGTTCCCTTCCATTATTTTGTGTGCCTTTCTCTCTCCCTGTGATCACATGTCTCTACAGAACCTTTTTTCTTTTTTTCAAAGATCTTATTTTAAGTAATCTCTACACCCAACATGGGGCTCCAACTCACAAACCCGAGATCAAGAGTTACATGCTCTACTGATTGAGCCAGCCAGGCACCCCTTTACAGAACCTTTTCATCTTTGTGTCTCTCACCAGCACAGGATTTGCATTTAGTAAATGCTATGTTGAGGATTGTTAAAGATGTGATGGGATGTTATAAAGTGGATGTTTGCCTTGTTGGGGGGGATATGGCCAGTTTTCCCATTCTCTGGTCAAAATCCATCTCTCTCTCAAAAAACTGAAACTAGCTCGCTAAAGTGGAAACAACCAACTTGTCCTACAGCACACTCCACCCGACAACAAAGATAGTTTCCCTAACAATTTATTTTTTTTTAAATTTAAAATTTTTTTTAAATTTTTTATTTTATTTTATGTTAGTCACCATACAGTACATCATTAATTTTTTTTTTAAGATTTTATTTATTTATTTGACAGAGAAAGAGCAAGAGCAGGAACACAAGCAGGGAGAGTGGGAGAGGGAGACGCAGGCTTCCCGCAGAGCAGGGAGCCTGATGCGGGGCTCGATCCCAGGACCCTGGGATCATGACCTGAGCTGAAGGCAGTCGCTTAACGACTGAGCCACCCAGGCACCCCAGTACATCATTAGTTTTTGATGTAGTGTTCCATGATTCATTGTTTGTGTATAACACCCAGTGTTCAATGCAATACGCGCCCTCCTTAATACCCATCACCGGGCTAACCCATCCCCCCACTCCCCTCCCCTCTAAAACCCTCAGTTTGTTTCTCGGAGTCCATAGTCTCTCATGGTTTGTCTCCCCCTCCGATTTCCCCCCCAACAATTTATTTTTCATTTCTTCAATCAATTTAATTTTCAAATTATACCTTAAAATGGCAATTGGTAAATGAGACTTAACAACTTAGGATTTTCTGTTGTTGTTTGATGAGTTCTTTCTAAGGTAAATGTTTCAGTATTGGAGCTACAACATTGTAATACCTGTATTAAAAATGGCACAAGGGGTGCTTGGGTGGCTCGGTTGGTTAAGTGTCTGCCTTTGGCTCAGGTCAAGATCCCAGGGTCCTGGGATCAAGCCCTGGCATTGGGCTCCCTGCTCGGTGGGAAGCCTGCTTCTCCCTCTCCAATAAGTGGATAAAATCTTAAAAAAAAAAAGGATACAAAACTTAAAAGGTCCTGTCCTCCATCAGCTTGAGAGATGGGTAAATGTTCGAGCTTTCACAAGGGGGTCAAGATAAAATGCATGAGCCAGAAGCTGACACTCTGAAACAAAGCTGCAGGCAGATATTCACAGGTTATCAAATGGATGCTAAAACAGAGTCGTCAAGTACACATGATGACAAAAGAATCTCATTGTTACTTTTTTAGTAAAATGTAAAAATATAAATTAACTGCCTAACATACCCTATCTTTTCTTACATATTTGGCTGCAAACTCTTTGATTGCATCTTATATAACAACTGTGTAATTCCATTTTTATAGAAAGAGAACAGAAAATTCAATCTTTCCTTAAGCAACAATGATAGAAATCTGCTTTGTATTACTGAGAACTTATGAGTTTTTTTTTCAACTTCAAATCACATTTTATTATTGGAAAAGTCATTTACATTTTTAGGATTCTTGTCAAATAACAATTTATTTTTTTAAAAAAATCTCAAAACATGTTCTAGTACGTTCAGTAGCAAAGATCTACCAGTGTTACACACATTAAGAAAACCTACATTAAATTTCTAGTTAGACTAATTACAATCTATATACCCATAAAGGCAGTTGGTTGTGGTTAATGGAGCTCTTAAGAATCAAGTGCAAAATAATGTATAAAAAATGAGTTTGAAGATTTCAAAGAATTTTAAGACAGACTTAATTTTTCATGATTTTCCCAAAGCCAGTCATGATATTTATTTAACTTATGGTCTTCAGGGTGCACCTGGAAGAAATACAACACATTAGGAGACAGAGGCCTTATAAAAGTTTGTCAGAAATACATTTTTTAAATGGGCTTTTTAAAGGTATGGTAGGGGAACAATACCTTAGGATAGCATACCTGAAAATTATAACCTTTAGCCTAACTGGATTCATGAATGCTTAAAACTATACCTTACATTAAGGTAATCCTTCACAAAGTACTTTCCAATTTAGTACTGATCTTCACCGTGACCTACCATGTGGGGTGGTGATAACATGAGTCAAGTATTAATATACCATTTTCCAGAAGGAGGTTGTAGACCCTGAGAGTTACATGGATTGCTCAGGTCACAATAAATGGTGGAGCAGGGATGGGCTTGGCCAGACCTACTGGCTGAATGCTTTAAGGTGAGTCACAGACCAAGAGGGCAGTGTACTGGGCCACCTGGCAGTACCACCGCTGCCAGGACACCCTCTGGATATCTGTGGGCAGGGCATACTCAATTGACTGGGTAGCTGAAGTAGGGCCCAGTTACCACAAAAGCAGTCTGAGACCAGTAGGAGAAACCCAACAAGCATACCTTCCAAGCCCAAACCTGCCTGCTTTCCTTCAGTGGTATATTTCTGAAGGCTAGTATGACTGTGACAGGAGGAGAATCACGTCAGGCTCAGAGACCACACATGAATGAGAATGACAGCACAGGGCCAGAAGTGACAAACTGCTCGAGGTCAGTCAGAGGCCACACCAAGGAGTCTTTATGGAGTTGGGAGTATCTGTGGAGCCTCTCCCTGCTGCCAATAGCCCCATGCCACCACGTGCCCCTTAAGCTTGGAACAAAACTGTGCCCAAGAAATAGTTTTAGCTCTAAGGATGGACTTATTTGCCTCAGAGACAAAACATGCTGGAGATGTTATGGCTGAGAGTGGGTCTCACCTGCTTCCACTCATTGACGCAAAAAATTCGGTAAGAGTCGTTGCCATATTTGCCAATCCCATGAAGCTCAATCGGGTATTTCCACTGCTTTGTCAGATATTCATCTGAAAATACAACACCCCACAGATCAGGTCAGCCTCTAGAAAGATACTTCCCCTAAATATGTGGTGATGCAGAGCTAGATGGTGAGAATGGCAGAAAGGGACAGCAAAAAGTCTTTCCTAACAACCGCAGTTCTGATGGCTCTCTCTTCTGATATCCCACAGCACCCCATCTGAACCTCTCACCTGCCACTTACTAACTGTTATTATTTTGTGCTGTGCTAACTAGACAGAGGCAAAGAGTCCTTAAGGTCAACAGGGCATTCTGCTTCACTGACTTCTTCCTCTAATCTTGCCCAGATGACCTGTCCAACTGCTGGGCAAAGATTTATTGCTTGGGTCAGTGAGGGACTGTGGTTTGGGGCAAGTGGACTGTTTTTAAAGGCCTTCAGTGCTTGAGCTGAATGACCTCGATTAATGTAGCCTGCAAGGACATTAAAGCTTAAGGTGTGGCTCTCTTAAATAAGCAGTTTATGTTCTTTCCTTTGGGTATACAGGAAAGTACCTGAGAACTTGATAATGGTTTTTGCTCGAAGATCGTAGAGACCGAGAGGTTTAAGAAGATCTGACACATCTCTCCAGTCTGCGGTTCTTGCTACCTCAGCCGAAGGGTACTTCTCCAGAAACTCCCAGAGCACAGGGATTGCCATTTTGCCTGGGAAGTAAAAGTAACTGTGATTACAAGCCTCCAGATGGGCTGTTTTTAAGTTCAGGTACTGCCTCATCTAGAAATCTCATATAGAGGGTTTTTGTTTTTTTTTAAACCCCTGAGGAGAAGCCATTACCTGAAAAGGCCACCACCTTCAGAGTCAAAATTCAACACTACCTATCAGCTATTTGGCTAATAGTATGGCTAAATCATACTTATACCTAGCCTCGCCTGATTATTAGTTTTCAAATAATCCAGTCATCATATAACTAGTATAAAAGCATACAGAATACAAAGTGCCAGTGACATTAAAGAAAGCAGTCAATGAAAAAGAAACGCTTTTACACATGACAGAGGGTGGAGGAATGTTAAGTAACTGATTTTCAGTGCTGACCAAAACTAGTTTGGGAGTAGAAAATAAATGACAATCTGTTCCGTAGTGCTTAAAAAAGGCTTTGGATGTCATCTAACCTTCTCATTGGTGAAGAGTTTGAGGGCTGAAAGGGAAAGTCCTTGCCTGAGGTCACACAGACTCAAACTTAAACTTGAACCCAGACCTCCTAAGGAATCCAGTGCCCTTTATCCTCATCACACTGTCTCTAAGATAAAGATGAAAATGATCTACAAACCTGAGGTCCGGTTGAGAAATATGGTAGCAATGAGGAGCTTCCATGGATCGTGGAAAAGTGTTTCCTGGACAAGATTAAAAGGTGACCGGGGAGGTGTCCACTTCTTAAAGGCTTTGCGCCGAGGGGGGCTAAGAGCTAAACAAACACACTGTATCAGAGCTGAACACCTGAAACATTTAAAATCGAATTTTCTGATTAGGAAAGGGATACCTTCTCTGTTATATTTGCTGGAAAAATATAAGCTTGTTTTCCTTTTTTCTATTTGTGTCCGTGGAATGGTATCTTCTGAAAAGGAATAGTGAACATTGTTTAGAGAAGCTATGGCTTTAGCCTAGAGAAATATTCAGGGGTGCAAATAACAACACACTACTATTATAAAGCATTTAATACTTGCCAGGCACTATTCTAAGCACTTTACAAAAATTAACCAACTTAATCCCACTAATGACCTACAAGCTAGGTACTATTTACTTCCACCTCACAGATAAGGAAATTGAGTGAGTACAAATAAATTTAGTAACATGGCCAGGGTCCCACAGTTAGCGTCAGAGCTGAAATTCAAATCCAGGCAGTCCGGCTCCTAAGTCCATAACTTTAACCACTCTGTTACTGTACTCTATGATTTATGTTCAGAGTTCAGGGTACTAAAAAATTAGAAATAATATGGAACATTTTAAATTATGACACATTTGTACAGTGTGATCATTAAACATCTTGAGACTATATCATGAATATTTTCCCCCATGTCCTTAACTTTTTAAGTGAAAATGCAATAGTCTACATATGATCTCAATTTAATAAAGAAAGAAAAAAGAGAAACAGAGATTAGAATGAAATGAACCAAAATGGTATAATGGTTGTTGCTAATTTTTCTTTTCTCCTTTAATTTTTTATATTTTCCAAAATTTCTACAGTGAATATTTTTACACTTAAAAAACAAAAAAGGACACAGACAAAACAAAACCTACTGAAAAACCTAAGATTTGGACCTTGGAATACTGAGACCACTATCTGCTGAGAAGCTCAGTTAATGTAACAAAGACTACCTGACCAGCATTATCAGGCTTCCCAAGTTTCTAAAATCATCACATTTAATACTCTCCATAACCTTACCCTCTAAATTTGAATGTCAGTTAATAATACCTTGCAGCTGTATAGCGTGAAGCCATCTTTTTCACTTCTCATTTGCAATATTCTTGATGTGAAAAACTGGACTGGTGAGGATTATTACCTCCATTTTACAGATAAACAAACTAAGGCTTAGAAATTAAACAACAATCCCCAAATGAAAGTGGGACTGATTATAGATTGGGACAGGTATCCAGCTCTCCAGATAATTAGCTACTGTTTTTTGCTATTCTAGTTCGAATAGGCAAAGCCTAGTAGAAAGTAAAAAAAGAGGTCAAAGGAAACTACTCTTACTAGTTACATGATAATTTCTTCTGTGGGTTCCTATAAATAATTATTAACTAGCATCCTTTATTAGTAGGAAACTGAAGCTCAGTTTACTTTTCAATTTCCAACTAAGCCAACGGGAAAGTCTTTACAATTCCATTGGACACTTCTTAAACTCAGGGTACTTCATCTTGTGCTGAGAACTAGACTTCTTTATGTATAGGATGAATAGGATACTTCTGTTTTGGTCACAAAAGGATGTTTTTAATATTTTATTTGTCCATTATACTGGCAATAAAGCTACATAAACCTCAAAGCTCTAAGAAGCTTAAAGTCTTTAAAGGAGAGACTTGAATTCTTAAGCAGTTCCTAGGTATATATGGTCATTTTCTATTAAAGGTAAAGGAATTCCAGGCACAGCAAAGACATAAAATCATGATTGGAACTGAGAACAGAAATCAAGTCTAACCCCCTGCTCCACCAATTTGTCCAGGCTGTCTCCTGACAGGACTTTAAGTAAAATTCTTCTTCTTCTTTAAAGGAGTTATTCATTATATCATAATGGCATAATGAATAACTAATACAGGGCTGCTCAAAAGGTCTTCTTTTTATTTTTTATTCACTGAGGTATTATAAAGGCAATACTGCTAAGCTCTGAACTCTGTATTAAGAGCATATTACATATAATAAATGAACTATGTGAATACAGTTTTGAATTATTTAGAGCTCTAAAGCATTTTAGAAAAGCATTACATTATAATAGAAAATAAAAATGACTATGGTATGTACAAACTGAGATTGGAAGTCACACATCAGGAATAAATAAGAGGAGGGTTGCAAAAGAGTAGACACGGACTATTCTCAACCCGTTTAAGCATTAAAAGGAGTCTTCCCCAAACCTTTTCACAAGTGAAGCGTTTCATTTTCCCTAAAGCTGTAATATTACTGGCTGGAAAGAAGATGGGAAGGGAAAGCACTGTTGAGGAGAGTCCCAGCTACTGCACCAGGGAGAGATGATAGCAGCTGTAAATGGCACAATCTCCTCAGCTGGGGTTAGCAAGGCAGTAGCCAGCCAATTCCACCTACACCATAGGAAAGGGTTTGAAGATCAGTTAAATAAGGTAATAGGATCAACTGGTACAATGTATCTGGTATTTAGCCCTATTTTTTTGTTCTAGTCCCACATCCTAACTGGGTACAGGCATGAAATATAGTATATGGAAGTATAAACTCATCACGTGTTCATTAGCAGCTTTAGTGCTCTCAATACCTTGACATATTTTCACAGAAATAGAGTCTTTCTCGGTTTGTGAGCAGTTGTTGTCCATTTCAGAGCCACATTTTAAAATGTCAGTATGCAAATGTTCCTTCCTTCCCCCAACTTCTACTTTTGATTTTATTTCTTCAGATTCTAAAAAGGTTTCCTCACAATTCTTGTTGCATTCTGCTTCTTCAGTTGAACTTAATTTGTTTATGATGCCAGAAGTTATTTGTTGAAAACAAAAATTTGATCCTGAACTCAATGATTGTTCTTTTACAAGCCTCTTTTCTTCACTGGTTACACTGAGGGTCTTGTTGCTTGCTCCAGCATCAGAAATGGAGAGTGTTTTATCAAGCTGACTTTCTTGCACAACAGGTTCACTTTCAGCATCTGCCTTCTTATACTCAGATTTTCTTTTCTTATTACTTTGAGCAGAATCTGGAAGACCCTTCCGGCACCGTGTTTTAGTTTTCTTAATTTGAATTTCTTTCAAAATAGTCACCTTTCCTTTGGGCTTTCTAACCTTTCTGGAGTCAACATCATTAACGCCCTCATCTTCTTTAAAGTTAGACAGTCTTCTGCTATTTTGCAATTCCAAACTACCACTTGGTAGAGGAAAGACATCTTTTTTCCACCAGCTTCGGGTCCTGAGGTTCCGGTTTGAACTATTACTGTCATTTTGCATTTGGGATGTCAGAGGAGCGATGCTGCAGTTTTTATATCTGGACTTGATGCCCCTTTTAGAAAGTACAGTAAAATCAAAATCTTCTGGTGTAAGAGAAGTCTCTTCATTTTTGTGAAGATATTTAGCAAGTGAACTTTTGGATCTGAACTTCAGTCCTTGTGGGCTAGAAAATGATATTAAAGAAAACTTATTACTAGTACATAAAAGTGACCTTAAAAAGAATTGGACCATATTTCAGATTTTTAATTAATAATTTCCAAGTGTTGCCATGGGTATTTGTCATTTATTTATTTATTTATTTATTTTTTAAGATTTTATTTATTTATTTTACAGGGAGACACACAGCGAGAGAGGGAACACAAGCAGGGGAGTGGGAGAGGGAGAAGCAGGCTTCCCGCCGAGCAGGGAGCCCGATGTGGGGCTCGATCCCAGGACCCTGGGATCATGACCTGAGCCGAAGGCAGACGCTTAACGACTGAGCCACCCAGGCGCCCGGTATTTGTCATTTAAAAAAAAAAAAAAAAGTAATAAAGTGGTACTTTTAAATAGTTTCCTCTATGATAGTATAAAATAATTTTACAATTATTTACAAATTTACAAATTTAAGGGCAACAGTTTGCAGAAGATATATGTACTTGTCCCCAAATCACTTGATATTAACTAACCAGTGACACTCAAGGAACAAAATCTATAATGGTTTCTGGTAAGAACAGAAAAAAGCCAAGATTTCTGTGATGCTTTCCCAATACCTGTCTAGATAAAATGATTTGGCTGCACCATCTGTGCCGCCTTGCATGCTCACCTGATAAAATATACATCATATCTTCCAGCTGTTTTCCCTGATAACCTTTGCTTCACAACTCTTTCCCATCCGCATGGGACAGACTTATGGCATTCTGTCATTGTAGTATCACCAGTCTGAGCAGAAGCAATGGATTCTTGCAGTAGGGTATTACACTCACTGCTTTTTATTACCGCTTGCTTCTCATCTTCTCCCCCTCTTTCCGATCCCAGAGCACCATCTTCCTCGCTGAAAAAAAGTACAAGTGATCAGCTCATTTAAAATTTATTTTCCTCTGCTTATTCAATTTCAATTCATGACAGAGCAGGAACCATATGGACTAAAATTTAGACTACAGGAGAGATTAAAATCAGTACCGACCAGTCTTATGCTATGTAAATATCTTCTTGTCCTCCAACATGGGTTACAAAGGGTTGGAAGTCTCTGCACAACGAAAAGATCAAGCTATTCCCTAGAAACTTTTTGTTGTTGTTAATTACTGAGCAGGGCTATTTTTCTGGTGACACTTGGCATAAATTAAAATATGAACCAATACACGAGCTCCTAACCTGGGATCAACAGAACTGCTAAGAAGAGTCAGTGAGACACCCTCCTTCTCCCCAAATAAGTGATGCTTACTACGCACCAGGCCCTGGCCACAGAATACATGCCTGTGGCTTCCTCTGTAACCTTTTTTTTTTTTTTTTTTTCCAGATTTTATTTATTTGACAGAGAAAGAGACACAGCGAGAGAGGGAACACAAGTAGGGGGAGTGTGAGAGGGAGAAGCAGGCTTCCCGCCAAGCAGGGAGCCGGAGGCGGGCCTCGATCCCTCGACCTTGGAATCATGACCTGAGCCGAAGGCAGCCACTTAACAGACTGAGCCACCCTGGCACCCCGCCTCTGTAACTTCTTATAGGACCCATTTTGGGGGCACTCTTGGCTGCTTAACATGACATCTCCTCCAAGGTCTTCCTAGGATCCTCCAGCCCAAGCTGACCTCTCCTTACACCCCTTGCACAAAACCTCTCTGCTCCTTCCAGTTCCTTCGTCATCCCGGCTAACGAAGCAGGATGCACCCCAGGGCCGACTGAACCCACTGGAAGAGGTTCCTGAGCTACAGCCACTGCTCCAAGTAACTAACCCTGTGGGTCTCGAGATCTGTCGATCCTAGGTTAGAAAGGCCCATCCACCTTCTACCCACCCTAGCCCGCTCCCATTTTACAGATGGTGAAAATGAGTCCCGAAAGAGGACTATAACTTGCCGGAGATCACAAGGCCGGTCTGGGGCTGAGCGCTCACTGGAGGTGACCGAGGGGGCAGCTCCGCAGTCCCCCAGGCTCGGACTCGCCATCCCAGCCATGCCCTTCGGGGGGCTTCGACAGCAGCAATGGCCGAGAGGGTGCGACGCCGGAGGAGCGGAGCAGAATCAGATGCGAAAACTTCTTCAGCTCAGAACGCTAGGCTGAAATCAAGAGCCGAAGGTGGTGAAAGCTTGTCAGACTCCACAGCAGCTTTCCAGCCACCCAGTTGTCCACAGCCGCCATTTCCACGGCTCAGCCAATCAAATCCTTCGTCGAGGAAGACGTACCGCCCTCCGCCCATTCCGACCAGTCGCGCGCGCCTTAGTTGCGCAGACTCCTTCTAGGCTCCGTTCCACCTTCGCTTTTGCTCCTTTCCTAGCCCTGCCCTTTAGGCCTGCGCACTCGGAATTTGGCCGCGCGCACGAGGCTCACTGCGCATGTGTGTTGCCAGGGGTAGCGCAGGTAACCAAAGTGGCTGGCGGAGTGGGGCCTGTTGCTGAGGCGGGAGGAGGGGCCTGAGGCGTGAGGGAAGCCGCGATGAGGGCCGTGTTGACGTGGAGAGATAAAGCCGAGCAGTGGTGAGGAGCCGGGCAGTCCGGGATGAGCGGGAGGCCGAGCCCTGGCGGGGATGGCGGGAACCTTGGCGGGAACCCCCGTGGTTGCCAGGGGCAACGGGCCTGCGGCCCTGGCTGAGGACACTGAACCCTAGGTCTAGCAACTGCAGGGTCGCCCTCCCACCCTTTTGCGGATGGAGAAACTGAGGCCTGGAGAGGGAGCTAGGGGGTTTACCATGGATGAGGTAGTGGCCTGTCGAGGCGGTTTTACACAGAATCCGTCCTGGCTTCATCTTACTACCCACGACAGTGTTTCTCAAAAACGTCACAGTTTTTGCCACATGCACATAAACTTGGCGTTTTTCTCTGAATCCTCTCACTGATTTTTCATTCAAATATGATTTTACACTTTATGATTTTACAAGGAAACTTTATTGCTCCTTATTTGAACGTGAGTATCACTTGCTGTGAGATAAATGCGAAACTCAAAGTTGGGAGAGACAAAACGGTGTTATTAAGTTGTAGCTAGATACTGTTGCTAGGAACCCTTTAAGCCTCTTGTCTACTGTCCTGAAGAACTGGATATTTAGCAAGTGTGGTCCGAGAGGTGCTTGAGGTGAATAGCATCAGAGCAAGACTTTTCTCCTATCCTTAATTGGAAGGTTTGAAAGAGAATCAAAAGAGAATGATTTTCTCGCCTTATGAGTCGATGTTAATGTCGTATTCCATTTTTATCAGTTAAATCCATCATACAATGAAACATTTGGGGGAAATACTGACTTACTGGATAGTTCCCCTCAGCCTGACCCTAAAAAATCTTCCAAGCTGATCTTTTCAGCTTCCTGGTGCAGCCTCTGTTTTGGCCCCTGGGATAGGACTTTTAACATTCCTTCTCATGTCTGTGTCAGAAAGCATGCTTTCTTTCCTCATCTCCTTACATTGAAATTATAAACATTCTGTAATGCTCCCTTCGGATATGGTTTCTCTCTCTTCTGTAGTCTGCACTAGTAATAGCTAATGCTTTCTACCCACCAGGCCCTGGCTAAGAACTTCACGTCTTTTATCTCATTGTCACTTCACAACAGCCCTCTGAGGTAGTTACTGTAATTACCTCTCTTTTACTTAAAAGGAAACTGAAGCACAAAGAGGGTAACTAATTTGCCAAGGTCACACAGCAAGTAAGTGGTAGAGCCAGCTTTTTCCTCAATCCAAAGCCGATACTGTTAGCTACTACATTAATTTTTCCTCATGTTACAGAGGTTGCAAACCCAAATGCCTGCAGGAGTCAGGCAGGCAATATAATGGGAGATGTTTATTTGCATCTTAAACTCAAGATATTGTCTGTCTTTCCTAGGAGTAGTATGCTATTCTACACCCAACTTTTCTTGAAACATATAGCCCTACCAGTTTATCTTTCATTTCTACTTTTAATAGAAATTTGAGTTTAAAAAAAATTCTTTTTGGGCACCTGGGTGGCTCAGTTGGTTAAATGTCCGACTCTTGATTTCAGCTCAGCTCTCAGTCTCAGGGTCCTGAGTTCGAGCCCCAAGTTCAGGCCCCATGCCCAGCATGGAGCCTCCTTAAAAATAATAATAAAATAAAAAATGAATTAAAGAATTCTTTTTACTTTTTTCTTAACTCTATTATGAAAGTGCCCACCACAAGCTGCTGATAACTAGCACCTTTGACTTTCATGTCGGAGAGTAAAAGAGAGTGGCAAGGAGTGTGGCAAACGAGAGATCTCATGCTCTGCCTAAAAAGGGCAGCTGTTGCTCAGCTCCTGCCAATTACCACCCTGCAGGAATTTGGCCTAGTGTGCTCAGATCTTCCTGTTTTTACCAGAAGCTATGAGTTTGGGTTTTTATGTGAAATGCCCTAATTTTTAAGTGTTGGCAACTAATCTAAAACTGAAATAAAACACCATGTGGGCCAAACAAAACATTTGCTGGCCAGATAACTGCCTGATTTGCTCCCAGTTTTCAACCCCTGGCATAGAATTTTGTTCATTCCTCTCTTGTGGTACTTAGTATCTGTCTAGTTTAAAGAGTTATTTGCACATCTGTTTATCCCGGAAGACTATAAACCCCTTAAAAGCAATGGCTACTTCTTATTCATTTCTAAGGCATATTCCAGAACCTAGACAAATCAGTGGTTGGTGTGACTATTTGATGGATAGATGTATTAGTGAATAAATGAGTAAGTGAGCAAATGAATGATGAGTTTAGATTGATTATTTGGGTTTGGGCCCATTATAGGTTTGAAACAACTTATTAGATTAGGGACTATAGGGATTCTACAGACCAGCAATCCTGATGGCAGCTACATATGCCAGCTGGAAGCCCAGAATAAAATAAAACAAAAACTATTAAAAAAGAGATAGTGGAACTAAGAGATCTCAGATGTCTTAAGATTAGTCCTCCGCAACTGAACCAGCCACTGTCTCCTGGTCTGCTCTTTGACTTCCAGTCGAAACTTCACATGGCAGCAGGATTTCTCTTTTTTGAGTCCTGCTGCTGTGATCCGTTATTCTACTTCCCATAACCCTAGATTGACTCCCAGTTCCCTTCCACGTCAGATTGTGCACTTAACTAGGTGGTCCTGCTTATCCTCCCCCCTCACCTTCTGCTTGCTAACATTTAAATTTATGCTTTCCACTTCAGCTGAAAACTCCATTTTCCTACCCAAAACTCCTTCCCAAATGCTCTCTTATTCTTCTCTGAACTCCCTCCTTTCTTTTCTTTATTTTTAAAAAATATTTTATTTATTTGTCAGAGAGAGCACAAGCAGGGGAAGCAGCAGGCAGAGGGAGAAGCAGGCTCACCCCTGAGCAAGGAGCCTGTTGTAGGACTTGATTCCAGGACTCTGGGATCATGACCTGAGCTAAAGGCAGACACTTAACTGACTGAGCCACCCAGGTGTCCCTGAACTCCCTCCTTTCTTCCTTAAAAGCACTGTTCTAGGTTTATCTCAACCATGATGCCTTATTTGGCTAGCCTGCCTTATTCCAGTCAGGACAGCATCTGCTATTACCCTCCAATTACACCAGCTAGTATTTACTGAGTACTTGCTATAGGCCAGATAGTGTTTACGTGCATTATTTTATTTAATCTCCACAACAACCTGTGAGGTTGTAATTGTTACCCCATTTACAGACGACGAAACTGAGAAGTAGCAAGGTGACATAATTTGCCTGAGATTCAAAGCAAGTAACTGGGGCTGGGCCAGATTTTGCAGGATTTGGAGAGGCACCTTGGGAATTCAATTTACAGTGGGGTGGGCACAAGTTTGGCAGAGGACAATTTGCAGGGTTTGCCCTCTGTCTTTATGCAGTGGAATTTGACAGTGTATCTTTGTCGTAAAAGGGGGAGATAAGATGGTGGGGAGAGAAAGCCATCCTCTAGTACAATAAACTGCCTGCAGACTGGTGAGCTCTCCAATCCTGGGAGTGTTTAGAGGTTGGATGGCCATCTACAGGGAATTCCTGCTATGTGGGGGAGCTGGACTACCTGACAAATTTTAGGGTCTCCCAATTCTGAGTTTCTGTGATCTCGTCAATCTTGAAAATAAAACAGCCAGTTATTTTACCAGCAAAGTGGGTTTATTCAGGAATAGGAGAGGAATTACAATTTGGGAGAAGAAAGTTAGGGTGAAACACAGGCAAGTTCCAGAAACAAAGGAGAGGAATACTCTTTTGTAGAGGAAAGGGGGAAGGAAGTTGGGAGGGGCCATTATAAACAAAAAGTCCATTGGAGTAAACTGGGAGTTCAGAGTGTAGTGGCTTTTCATTGGTTGAATTGTGACAGTCTCTCATTGGCTGGGCTGTTGCTGGACAAGATAAAATCTTCCTTTATCTAGGGTAAGGTATAGGCTTCTTCCTGTTGGTTCTTCAGGGGGGCTGCCAACAAGTAGGACACCATGAGAGCTCTCCCTTCTGGCCTCTGGACTCCATTTTAAATGAGGTTTCCTTTATTCCGTCTCACAGTCTCATGGTGTAATTAAAGTCTGAGGGGTTCAAGATAAAATAGTTTGTTGATTATATTCATTTTGTGTCTAGGACAATGCCATGCATGGTGGGCCCACAAATGTCTAAAATAGGGTCCTTGCCCTTAAACTACACATGATTATAATTAAGATAGTATTTGAAACAGAGTGAAATATAGAAGGTAATATAATTCAGAGCTACAATGAATTATACAGATCCTAAGTGCACTAAGAGTTTAGATTGGGGTAAATTGAACATTATGTTATATTTTAGGAAGGCAAATTTCAAGACATTTAGAGAAAATTTTCACATCTGAGAGTAAGACAGTTTAAGGCTTGGCCCAAATCAGACACTCAAATGGTTTTCTGAGAATTCAACCCAAAATGATCCTTATGAAGAAGATCCCCACAAGAAGCACTTTAATGAGCTTAGATTATCTACAATGCAGAAAGGAAGCCACATGACCAAGGATGACTATAAAAAAGAGGTGCAGATTCCCCAAAATCTGGTACCTCATCATAGCAACCCACAGGTGTCAGGTGCTTGCACAAGGTGGCCTATGCACCCAGAGGTGGGAGAGCAGCTCTCTAGTCTTGCTTTGTAGGTGAGGACGAGTGCTTGAACAGGACATCAGTTCTTCAGGACCCAGGTCCCTCTAATTTTCACTTTAGTGGGTGCCCTGCCTCTCAGGTTGTGATACACACTA